TTTTTATCAACTATTAAAATTTAGGTATTTGGATGTTTACTGATGGTAAAAAATGTTCAATTTTTTATTTTTAGTGTGTTTGGGTCACTGTGGTTCGCTGTATCACTTTTTTATATCCAAAAATCATTTTTCTACTAAAACTCATTTCATAGAAAGTGTGAGGGACAATGGCCATTAAATCTGAATTGATGATTCTTTCAAAAGTGATGAATTGGGAGTTAAATTGGTTTTTTTTAAGCAATAAGTTAGCCTAGGAGCAAAATGGTAGACTTAGGACCTCGTAGGCCAGTAGGTTGATTAACATACGGTTGGCGTTGGCTGGGGCGGTTTCTTAGCCTCCATTTGGGAATTATGATTTGGGCTAAAATAACTATATAAGACAAAATAGGCTATTTTAGTCCAATAAGACAAAACATTACATCTAACTCATAATCATTACATTTTTCCTCTTACAAAAAGTCAAAAAACTCTTCTCAAACGAGACTTTTTAGCCCCCAGATAAAATAGCCAAAAAGTTAAAAAGCTAACACACTTCCCAAACGAACCCTTAGTTTGGTTGGGTTTTGTTGGCTGATTGTAGCGGGAGAAAGCGTGGGAACATTAGGATTGATCCTAATTCACCCTAACCTCGTACCCAAGTCACCTAGGTCTATATTTTCCTTTAAACAAATGTTTACAGAAACATAAGAAGGTTTAAAATTTTAATTATTAATGTTCATAAAATTTATTAGTGATATGTAATTTTTTATTTATTTTATATTTACATTGAATAATAGTTTTTCCAAATTTAAAACACATGAAGTTCTTGAAGTGATTGATGTTCACAAACATGGCTTCTTCTTTATTTTATTTATTTAATTTTTTTTTTTTGGGAGGGGGTTTTTTGGGATTAAAGCAAAGAATGATTTCTTTATGAACTTACCATTAATGACTTTTTATTCAGGTTGAGTTAACCCACTCTGTGCTCAGTGTGAAAACACAGAAATGAGTGTGTTCAATGCATCCAATCCAAATTTGAATGAGCTGTGTGATTTGATTATCGAATTGCTTTGTGGATTAAATCAATCGGTGTAGGCTACCGTGATACTTTTTACAATTTTTCTTTTTTATTGATGTATTTCCGTAGTTGTATGCTAATTTCATAAATAAGGATTTTTTTTCTTTGACTGATCAAAATAAATAAATAAATAAATGAGGATTTTTTTTTCATTTACCTACTCAATCCGTCTCCTCTTATGCTGTCTCTCTCTCTCTCTCTCTCCCCTCCTCCTTGTGCAAACCTCGTTTGCTCCCTACGCAGACCACCTTCCGTCATCCACCGGCACCATTTAACGAAATGAGGAAGAAGTAAAATAATAATAATAATACTAATAACAACAAATATTTCTTGATAATAGACCATAGATCTAAATAAAGACATTCACGCTTCACACAAACCAAATAAAAAGGACAAATCTTGTTCCTAAAAGTGAACATAACAAAAGAGAACGGCATGGCATATAGTTCAATAACAACAGTAACAAACAGCGCACAACACACAATCTTCCTGTTCCGAATAAATCAAAGGGGAGCGCCCGGAAAGCGTACGTTCAAAACTCACAACATACAAATTCACAATAGAAGTAGAGCGATAAAACGGCAGTAGAGCGATAAAACTCGAGAACATCACGATCCATGAGAGAATTGTCCTTCGCGAATTGATGCCACTGGCAACTCATGTAACGCCTTCCAGTACTATCCCTCCTAACAGGAGCCTTGAACCTCCAAATATTTCCATGGTCCCAAACAAGCATGATTTCGTTGTCCTCCGTCACATCAGGAAGATACAGTGCAGACCGTGGAATCTCGAGGTTGCCGTTAACGTCTGCCTTCGAGAGTTCCTTTTCAAAGCATTTCACATATCCCGGCTCCATTCTCCTTTTTTTTTTGATCGGCAAAATAAGGATTTATTGATGATAAAGCAAGATACAATCCACAATACATCAACAAATCAGGGGAGTGCACTATGCACTTGACCCATGATTGGCGAGAAGCCAATCAAACACCCAAACTCCAACAAATTAGCAAGATACAAGATACAATCCACAATCCACAATACAGCAGCAACCACCAATGCTTGGCCCCTAAACAGCAGCCAAGCCAGGCCACTTAACAGACTGAAAATGCACCTAGCACTCAGCAAATCCTATAGGTTGACCAAACTTGTCTGTCATAGGATTGGAAGTGTTCTACACCAGAAACACAGAAGCACCAACTCAGAATCTGCTAGACACCAGCAGACTACCAAACCCGCAGACTAGCAGCCACCATACAAGCTTGAGCAGCAGCTGAAGCATGTAGATAGGCAGGGGGCTTGCACCAGCTAGATCAACAATGCTAGACCAGAGCATGTTCTGCTGCTCAGATGCAGAATAGCAAACACTAGCAGCTGAAAACTCCCACTGACAGACTAGCAGATGCAAAACAGAAGCAGATTACCAGAAGCAAACCGAAGAATCAATCACCAAACAGACCAAACAGATCATACAGACAGCAGATGCAAACAGCAGAAGGACATTGCCAGCTGCAAACTTCCTCAGACACATGCCTTTACCTGATCAATGTTGTTGATAAAATCATTAACCGAGTACATATTCCCTAACCTGGAAGCCTTACTCCATAAGGCAAATCGAACCTTAATGAGCTCACTAAGATCTACTCCACAAGGCTGCACCCCATTAAATACACAATCATTTCTAAACTTCCAAATGGACCATAGAGCAATCAGAGGTAAAACCCTCCATAATCTCCTAACCTTGTTCTTAAAATGGCCACCTAACCACCAATAAAACAAGCAGTCAACAGACCTAGGCACCACCCACAGGCACCCCCACCATTGTAACAGATCTGACCAAACTTTCCAGGAAAATGGACAATGCAGCAACACATGGGCAGCAGATTCATTCTCATTTTCACAAAAGGCACAAAAAATTGAAGCACAACTGTTAAGAATACCAATATGCTGGAGAAAAACTCTAGTTTTCACTCTATTCCTCCAAGCTAACCAGCCAAAAAACTGGACTTTAGGAGGTAAATCGGTGTTCCACACAAACTTACCTAAAGACAGATGAGGGCCAAAGGGAGTGTCACTGAACCTGTACAAAACAGATACCTCGAGGCAGCCAGCTGTTCCATTCCATGTAGCATAATCCTCCACATTACTGCGTAAAGGAGGGGCATCCTTTAAAACAACAACCAATCTATTTACTTCATCCTTTTCCCAATCATAGAGGTTTCTCCTAAAGTTAAAATTCCACTCCTCCACAGTAGATCTCCTATCATAGAAGCTTAAGAGTGATCCCCCTTTATCAATGGACAAACTAAAGATTCTAGGCCAGTAATCCTATTTTCAGTCCAGAATTTTTCCATAACAGAGGGGAAACATGGGTGCATAATCCATGCATTAATGAACCTGAAGGGTCTTGGCCCCCAATCCCTCTCATCTTCCATTAACAAGAGTGGGTAGTGATCAGAACAAGTTCTAGGAAGATCCTATAGCTTGAAGTTAAATCTTTGCAACCACTCAGGATTTAACAGGACCCTGTCAATCCTACTCCATTTCTCCTCCTCCTGAGCATTGCACCATGTGTACTTCCTACCAAGCAATGGTATATCATTCAACTCACATTTATCAATGAATGTATTTAGTTCCTTCATCCCCTTTTCCCTTCCAGAGCAGCCCCCCTTTCCCCAAAAAATCTGATCTCATTGAAATCCCCCCCCAAGCACCATGGATTTGGAAAATCAGACTTTAATTTTATTAAAGTATCCCAAAGCATACCTCTACCACTCACATCATTAGGGGCATTGGAGCTTTTCAATTTCTCTAACAACTCCATTGGGCATTCTGAACAGAGAAAGATAGTAAATAGGCAGACTAGACAGGGCAGACTTGATCAACGTTAGCCTGCCTGCAAAAGATAGAGTTCTTCTCTTCCAACCCGCCAACCTAGCTTTAACCTTATCCAACACTGGCTTCCAGGTTGATTTCCTACCTGGATTAGCACCTAATGGAAGGCCCAAGAATTTCATTGGTAATCCTTGGACCTTGCAATTTAGAATATCAGCACAGGATAGCAAGGCCTCCACATCCACACCTACACCACACACTACACTCTTGTGAAAGTTAATCCTCATTCCAGAAAGTATTTCAAAACATCTTAGGACCCTCTTTATATGAACTATTTGTTCCAAGTCAGCCTCACAAAACAACATCGAATCATCCGCAAATTGGAGATGAGAAATCATCACTTCTTTCACCCCAACTTTTACCCCTTTAATGAACCCTTTTTCATGAGCTCTGTGCATCAATATATTCAGCCCTTCTGCCACTATAATAAATAAAAAAGGAGATAGAGAGTCACCTTGTCTAAGACCCTTTTGTGGAGAAAACTCCTCTGTTGGTGAACCATTCACAAGAACAGACAACCTTGCTGTGGAAACACACGCCCTCATCCAAGAAATCCATTTTGACCCAAACCCAAAATTGGCCAACATAGAAAATAGAAATTCCCAGTTAATTGAGTCGTACGCTTTTTCAAAATCAAGTTTAATAACAATCCCTTTCTTTCTAGCTTTTTTCCATCCATCCACAATTTCATTTGCAATAAAAACTCCATCAAGTATACTTCTCCCACCTAAAAACGCAGACTGAGAATCCCCAATCACTTCAGGGAGCACTCTCGTGAGCCTATGAGCTAGAACTTTTGAGAGAATCTTGTACATGCTCCCCACCAAACTAATGGGTCTAAAATCAGCTAATTCTTTAGGAGTATCATTCTTGGGAATAAGAGTGATGAAAGAACTGTTAATTCCAAATGAGAGCTTGGAAGTGGTATGAAAATCCCTCATGAAATGCAACACCTCAGATTTCAATAACTTCCAAAATTTCTGAAAAAATAGGAGATTAAAACCATCTGGGCCTGGCGCCTTATTTCCATCACAGTCCATGATAGCTGCCCTTACTTCACATGCAGAGAAAGCAGCTTCCAGGTCAGAAAATGCGTCACTAGCTGCAACTGACTTAAAGGTGCCTCCCAGAGTTGGTCTAATTGCCAGCTTTCAGTGAACTGCCTCCTAAAGTGTTGTAAGACTGCAAGTCGTACAGTCACTGGCTCCTTCATAACAACTCTATCAATTGAGATGGAATTGATTGAATTTCTATTCCTTTTGCTACTAGCCATAACATGGAAAAACTTAGTATTCCTGTCCCCGTTCAAGATCCAGTTTACTCTAGACTTCTGATGCCAAATCCTTTCCAGCATCCTACTAAGCTTCCATACCTCCCCTGTCACCTCCCTTCTTCTATTCTTTTCAGATTCAGACAAAGTTCTGTCTTCTGCAGTAATGTCGATGCCATGCAGCTCTACCTCTGCCTCCTTTAATTTTGTAGCTACATTCCCAAAAACTTCAGAGTTCTATTTTTTCAGCTCTCCCTTGAGCAGTTTTAGTTTATGAAGAAGAATATACCCCGCACCCCCAGTAATCCTTTTTTCAGTCCAGAATTTTTCCATAACAGAGAGGAAACAAGGGTGCATAATCCATGCATTAATGAACCTGAAGGGTCTTGGCCCCCAATCCCTCTCATCTTCCATTAACAAGAGTGGGCAGTGATCAGAGAAAGTTCTAGGAAGACCCCATAGCTTGAAGTTAAAGCTTTGCAACCACTCAGGATTTAACAGGACCCTGTCAATCCTACTCCATTTCTCCCCCTCCTGAGCATTACACCATGTGTACTTCCTTCCAAGCAATGGTATATCATTCAACTCACATTTATCAATGAATGCATTTAGTTCCTTCATCCCCTTTTCCCTTCCAGAGCAGCCCTCCCTTTCCCCAATAACTCTGATCTCATTGAAATCCCCCCCAAGCACCATGGATTTGGAAAGTCAGACTTTAATTTTATTAAAGTATCCCAAAGCATACCTCTACCACTCACATCATTAGGGGCATAAACATTTAGTATGACACAATCAAAAGATTTCAGGAGAGTACCTGGCAGGAGAACAAATCTTCTATTGGAACAACAGTCCTTCAATTGAAATAAGCTTGGATCCCAAATACAGAGTAGTCCCCCTGCTAACCTTTCTGAATCTACTGCCATAAATTCCATATTCCTCCTTCCCCACAAGGTTCTAACTTCACTTTCTGAAATAGAGGTTTTCTTAGTTTCCTGTAATAGAACAAAGTCAACCCTCCTATCACAAATGAGCTTCCTAATCCTTCCCCTCTTCACAGATTTCCCTAATCCTCTGATATTCCATGACATTAAATTCATCAGTCAACATATGATACGCCAAATTCCCCTAGATGAGACACTGAGACCCTTATGCCGTCTCCCTCCCCTTTCTTCTTCCTCTGTCAATTGATTCAAGCTCCACCAATTTCTCCAAAACTTCACTATCTTTACCATTGTAGTGAATTCCCAGAACTTTACCCAGCTGAAGATTAGCTTGAGCTTCACTAAGAATATGCCTCCCTTTGCTTGAACCACTCTTGGTTGAAGCCGAAAGAGACACGGCTGCTGCAGCAGCCCTGAACACTGCGCACTTGGGGATAGACTTGCTAGATGGGTTACCTTTTTGACCATACAGACGAGCTAACCTCTTATACCCATCCTCCTCTGTGTTAGGCTTTGCTGCACCCGGCCCTCCCACTTTCATCTTTCCTTTCCTTCTTGCCTTCTTTACAGCGTTGGAGCTTCCATTGATAGTAGTTTGGCTTGATTGCACCCAGAGCCCATCTTTCCTGGTACCAGCCCAATGAGATTTAGTTGTGTGGACTATAGATGTGCCCACCCCCTCTTCAGTCAGTCCATTTTGAGAAACAGGCCCATGTATATGGCCCAAATTAACTTCCAGGTGGATACCAGGCCTGTGCCCACTTGCCCCACTAACACTCTTAATAAACCCAGGGGTAAACAGATGCTCATCAACCCTCTGGTTAACATTATCCCTCTGCAGTGCACTGTCTGCCATTACCAATAGAGATCTATCCATGCGTGCCTCAAACCCCAATATGTTTCCCACGCCACATTCAGGCTCTACGACCACTGTATTCACTTGGACAGCTTTACAGGTCGGCTCCAGCCCACATTGGGTCTCAACCACTACGGTGTCAGAATTTGCCAGCTCATCATCTTCTTCCTCAACCTCCTTAGGCATGTCATCTGCTTCATTTCCAGCACCACACCCAGCTACTGGTTCTTGATTAACAGCTTCATTAGAGCTATGGACATCCTCAACCTCACTAAGTATCGAACTGTCATTATCAAATATGCTAACTGGTTGCTCTTCACACACCATAACAGGATATAACCTGCCTTTGCATTCCAGATTAATGGTTTTATTGATGAAGTCCATACACTGAGTTGCAATTCTGACTCTTCCATAACTGAAGAACTTGGGTTGGCAAATGTCTCCTTCCAATCGAATAACACTTCCCCAAATGTTGCCAATCTTACAGAAAGTGTTTCTATTCCACATGCTTAGGGGTATCCCATGGCATCTGAGCCACAGGCACCTCTCTTGTTCTGCACAAGCTCCTGGTTCCCACTCTTTAACAAACTCACACCAATCTCTACACCATTCTCTGACCAGTGATAGTTTTGCATCCTTAGCTTCTTTGGATTTAAAGGTGACCACCACGTCTCTGCCTCCTCCACGCCTGACCATTACTTCCTCAATTCCTTTCTCCTTAAAAATCTTCTCAATGCCATGTATAGAGTACTCTTCTTTGAATCTCAAGATCACACTCTCGTGCAGCCAACCATGACCGGCTTCATCTACCATGATAGTTCTTTCAACTTTCCCCGCAGATCCTCTAGCGTTTGTTTTTAGTATTTCAGCATATGACCTCTGTAAACCATGCTGATGGTGTACTTCTCTTCCACCTGCTTCGTTGATGCCTTTGCTCCCTGTAGTCTGGTTTCTATTCTGTGCTCCTTCCTTAAATCTATCATACTCTGCCATTTTGACTTGAATCTCCCTGTCCTCTACCCATAGACCATTAGCTTTAGAAACTGCAACCCTCGCTGCCACTGAGCAGTCGAACCTGACAAAGCCAAACCTGGTATTTGTGAACTTCCTCCTCTTCTGCGGGATAAATACATCTTTCACTATTCCAAACTTTGTAAACAATTTGAACAATGTTTTTGGGTCCATACTGGAAGGCAAACTATCCACAAACACAGTAAACAATTCAGTCCTTGGCTCCTTGCTCCCTGTACCTTTCCCTCTTCTCTGCTTCATGACTGGAATCCACCCTCCTTGCTCCATTGATTGGGTGAGACCTCAGTTTTTGGGATTCTTACAATCTTTAAATTCCCCGGCTCCATTCTCCTTGAGTTGAGACCTAATAGAAAAACAAAACACAAAACACAAAAACAAATTATAGATATCAATTAACATACATATACACGCACACAATTCAAGAGTATTAGAAATATAAATCAATCTTACGAGGACTTTGAAACTTATAGAGTGGATTGAATCAAATGTTCTCACTCGTAACATATATATATATACACACGCATAAATCGATCTTACGAGCACTTTGAAACTTATAGAGTTGATAGTTGATAGTGTAACAGTGATGGGATTCTGACATTCGTTTTTGTCAACTTAGTCACACACTGTCACTCTCAAACTTAATTAAAAACAAAGCATATCTGAATATTTGGTATCATCTATGACATCACTCCCAACTTAATCTGCATTTTTTCTCTTTTCTCTAGGGTTGTTCGGAATGATCCAAAGAATTTTTTGACTTTTCATAAAAAAAAATATATACAAAAAAAAAATGAGAAATAATACCACTCAAAAAAGATAAAAAGATAATAAATATACTATTTTAATATACCCAAACAAGCTCTAATTAAAAAATACTTCATTAAAAATAATGTCAATCTGAATTTTTGGTCCTTCATGTCACTCTCAACTTTATGTGAGCTTTTTCTCTTTTATGTCCTCACTCTCAAACTTAATTAAAAATAATGTATATCTGAATTTTTGGTCCTTCATGTCACTCTCACCTGTATATCTGAATTTTTTGTTGCTTTTCTTGCGAATCAAGGGAGCCTCCATCACTATCTAGTTGTTTTTCAACTAGCAAAAACGGATTAGGAAGGCATGTATCTTAATCAGTTTCACGATTTAATTTAATATAAGGTAATAGGGCCTCCCTCCAAACAAAAAAGGTAAAAAAAAAGGCCCTCACGTTCCATTCATATAGTAAGACATATATCTTAATCAGTTTCACGATTTAATTTAATTTAATTTAACTTTTTTTACTTTACGAAATTTATTAGAAGAGTAATGCTATACATAATTTTTTATTTATTTATTTCTTTTTTCAGTCCTAGACACTACGTAATAGGCCCACATTATATATGCATGTAGGTCTTATCCAGTGGCAAACCTAGAATTTCAGAGAGATTGACCTTCTCGCGTTCGGATCCCCTATCACTTGTTATGCTGATGAGTTAAATAATGATGAATAAGAAAGAAATTCCATCCAGCAAGTCTGGATCTAACCTTCTCCAATACAGGTTGCCATGTTGCTTTTCTTCTAGGATTGGCCCCAAGAGGTAACCCAAGATACTTGATGGGCAAATTCTAGGCAGTGCAATTTAACAGAGACGCAAAATTTGCTAGATTGTCATTAGATATACCAACACCACACACCATACTTTTGTTATAGCTCATTTTTAATCCTGATAATATCTCAAAGCACCTCAAAATCCTCTTTAATTTCAGCACTTCATCCTCTTCAGCTTCACAAAATAGAACTGAGTTATCAGCAAATTGTAAGTGAGAAATTAAAACATCATTGGATCCAACCTTTACACCTTTAATCAGTCCCATATGCAGAGCCCTTAATAATAAGATGTTCAATCTTTTAGCCACTATAGTAAAAAGGAAAGGGGACAAAGGGTCACCTTGCCTCAAATCTCTCTGAGGGCAGAACTCCTCAGTTGGGGAACCATTTACAAGTATAGATAATTTCACAGTGGTCAGACACTCCTTAATCCAAGAGATCCATTTGTGCCCAAATCCAAAATTTGAAAGTATGGAGAATAGAGGGGCTAGCAAATGATAGGATAGGCTATTTGGTGCCAACCTTGTTGGGATGATTTAGTTCATTGTCATGCGTTTGCACTTACCTTTTCTTTATTGATGTTCTTTATTTTTGGTACTTTGTACTTGATTCTTACATCAATAAAGGTTCCTTTTTTGCCGATAAAAAAAAATATATATATATAACTTTGAAGAGAGAGAGAGAGTGAGTGAGTGAGCTTATCGCTTTCGGATCCATCACTTGCTATGTTGATGTAATAATGAATAAGAAAGCTGATGTAATGATGACAAAGAAAGAAAGCAAAAAAAAATGCAAAAACAAGTAGATAATTTTGGGGAGAGAGAAAGGAAAGAAATGCAGAAACAAGTAGACAAGTTTGGGGAGAGAGAAAGGAAAGAAATGCAATGTGAGTCGGCAAGAGTATAAGAAAAGCATGGAAAGTAGCGCTGTTGTGTTTGATGTGGATTTTGTGGGGAGAAAAGAATTAATGGTCTTTTGATGGGATGGAGAAACCTCTTTCTAAATTGTTTGTTGATTCTTTTGTGTATTTGGTTCTCCAAGGGTGTCAGTAACTCGATGATTGAGTATCTTTTGGATATTTTTAGAGAACTTTGATGGCTAAAGGAATGTCCAGCATTTGTTTGGTCTAGGTATGCTCGTGGTTGTGGAAGGATACAGGTAACATTCCCTTTGACGACTTCATATTTTAAGTTTTCTTGTGTTTTTTTTTTATTAATTTACATTTTGCAGTTTTTTTTTTTTTCACTTGTTATTTAAAAAATAATAAATCAGTAGCTGT